GAGTGATTTTTGCGGTACTCGGAAACTACTGGTTTTACCGTTGTATCCTGAAAAACGGACGCTCGTTTTAAACCTTAAGCAAGGACGGTGAGGGGACGAATCTGTTTTAAGGAAACTGTGTGTAACACAGGCCTCGGGTTAAAATTCTATGTTTCAGTTGTTTAATTCATGCAATTTTTCGTATTAAATTTATAGTCCATGCTTCATGAATTTATGATATATTGTTCGTATGCTTCATGAATTTTAAATTCTATTGGAACAAAAGTTATTTGTTGGAAATAAACTTTCAATGATCTGCTGAAAATTCAATATACGGTTGTTTCAATTTTGTTGATTTGCATAGTTGCAAAATTGAAAGACTTTATTAAAAAGACCTAAACTGTCTAAGAAGAGCTTGGGATTTAAGTAGTTCGGTTGTGACCCCCCCTCCTCATTTGGGAGTCTTTTAATTACGCATTATTCAAATTGACGAGACGAAAGACAACATTTCTCAATTTTATCCACATACACTGAATTTCCTATAGATGGATCTTAGTCCATATGTTTCAAATGTCTATCATGGTTTTTTCCCTAACACAATGGATAAAGTAACTACATTATGTTGAAAACATGCCTGCCAGTCAAAATGCTCGCTAGAAAATTATTGCTTTTAATTCTTATTTAAGAGCATATCCAATGGAGATGTGGATTGAAACAAAATGGCTTATCCCTAAACAGCAACCACTTAATTTTTTATAATTTCTTTATCTAAGGAGGACGTGTCCATTTAAGATTTTATAATCTTTCTCCACTCTCTCTCTACATCTTCTCACTTTTACAAGTAGCCCCTTGATGTGATCCGAAATACGTCTCAAAATTGCAATGAATTAATGCATGTTGGCAAGAGGTCGAGTTTGAGATTTGAGCTAAGTTGGGCGCCAATTGGAGATAATAAAATCATGCAATTAATTACTCAAGCTATGGGAGACAAAATGATGAAGTTTACAAACCAAGGACTAAGTTTAATGTTGGAGCCGAGGTCCAAATCATTTGGGAGCGGCTTGTTAATTTCAGCCGAACACGGAGCCAAAATTCATAACTATGCGACTGCATAGTTATCTAAGGAATGCGACCGCAATAGATCATGCAAGGATTTTATGGGCAGCAAGAGTTTCTTCTATGCAACCGAATAGAAATACTCTATGCGGCTGCATAGATCAAAATCGAGGCAGAATCTTTTATTTCGTGCAAGTTTTCTATTTTCACTAGAATTCTATTTTAGGTGATATTTTTGTGATCCTTAATCAATATTTTCCGTTTTTAATTAGTTTTTAGGTTTTAGTATAAATAGGGATATTATTTTCATTGTTAACAACTTTCATGATGAATTAATAAAGATTTTCTCTCAAAGCTTTGCTTCAATTATTTGTTCTTGGTGGAACAATTTTATCGAGCTTATCAAGAAATTATATTTCTTGTGGTATTCAAAATCATTGGGTGCAAATTACAACACGTGTAATCAAGGGGTTTTACAATCTTCGTTATTGTAGGTTTTTTGGTTCATTGTTTTGGAATTCAAATCCACCATTCGGGTGAGATTTCGAGGTTTTGTGATCAAGAGGTCGTTGGTTTAATATACCTTCGGTTGCTTGGTTCATTTTTTAGAAGTTAAATCCTAAACCTTGATCGTATTTGGGCGTTCTTGGAATCCTTTGTCAATATGCTATGACTTCGATAGCGACCATGCTAATCGGGTTCGCATCACCCCTAATTAGTGAAATCTGCATCCCCATTGTGAATGCTCTTCTCTCCACTTCATTAGTCATTTTGATTGTCACATGCAACAATGTGAATTGTTGCATTGGAAATGCTCTTAGTTGATTTATATTTTCATGTAACCTACTCCATATTTATTGAGAACAGAGCTAATTTGTTGTTCAATCTCCTTGTATTTGCATACACGAGGTCTTGCAGTGCAATTTCCATTTGTGATATATTTGTTGAAGATTCCCAATTATATTGAAAGTGATTAAGCAAACAATTTCGTCAGGCTAATGAAGATTTTAAAGTTTGTTTCGGGAAGGATGCAAAAGATCAAGACTTTTATGAAGATGAAAAGATGTACTTCATAGCTAATAAGAGTGGACAAAGAATATGAAAGCATAACAAGACAAGTCATTCTTTCATCCCTGACTTGGCACTCGATTCTAGCAGCCTTCTGCCGCTCTGAAGAATTCCTGGGTCTACAGGTGGGTGAGACAGAATTGGCCTTAACTACTAATCAAGCCCAGTTCCCATCGATAGGCACTAGTTCGGTTTGTCTTACATGATAGTTACGGTCATGGCCCAGCGCTCTAGTCAAGGCTCCTTGTTCAAGCTCAGCTCCTAACAAAGGGGTAAATGTTGCATAACATGTAGAAGACGTATCGCTACTCCCTAGTGAGCAATGTAGGGAAGATCCCATCTTTAATGTCAAATTTTCTTTCAACGAGATTCCACGACTAGGACCCTAAATCTTTCCAATGTGGTCATACCAGTTGAGGCTAGTAAGTCGGGGAGGATGGCAGAGGAGATACCTGCCACTAGACATCCTTCATGAAAGTTCGATGTCCCCAAAATATCAATGACCGTGAAGGTCGTGAAGGGTCACAAGCCATTCACTTAGAACTGGGCTATGAAACTTTCGAGAATGGAGGTCGCGAAGTGTCACTTTCTGTTTCACTGCATGATTCTTTAGCCATTCACTTAAAAATGGGCTATGACACTTTCAAGGGCGATGGGCTGTCTGGGGAAGGTGAGGAAAAACTATTTGATAAAGTTCATCTTCTCGTGTAGCAAAGTCGTCAAGGATTTTATGCGTGCAAAATGTTGCATCAAAGAGAGGATGAAATTCTAACACAATACATGAAATTGCCATAACATGGTAGAATTCATAAAATTACAATTAGAAATAGAGAATCATTTTTTTCCCAATTCCAACAAAAATAAGGAACCGAATGATATGGCGGAAAACTAAAATGACAATGTCCACTCCTCTTTTCTTTCTTCTCTGACCAACTAATATATTCCATAGTTTCTTCGATTCATTTCTCTCTCAAGGAAACCAAAGAAAGTACACTTTGTAAATGGTATCAGCCACCCTCCACCTGAACATCCCAAAACCGAAAGACGTTGGTGTTTTATATTGATCCCATCCAAGCGAAAACATTAGGCAGGCGAGTTCCCACAAGGATGATTTCTCATGATCTAAAACTGTAGCCAAGACCAAGTATGATACAGCCTTGGGTCCAATATTCTTGAAAGTTCTCTACCACATACCAGTCCGCAACAATCAATCTATTGGTATTCCAGATTCGCCCATGCATCACCGTTTTTTAGACCCATTTTTGCTCGAATAACCAATCTCATCAAGCTGCAGAGCTCTAGGATCAAGTGGGATCGTTCCAACCGTTAAAACACCAGAAGAGCCAGTGGAAATGTTAACTTTGACGGGTACAGACCCTACTGTAACAACATCAATCAGTTCAGTGTTTGCTTTGCTGGCAGTATTAGGCACCAAACACACACAACCGGAGTCTTTCGGATTCATTGTTAGTGAACCAGTCTTTAATTCAACGTCAATATCTGGTTTGCCAGCCACTGAAACTGCTCGTCTTGAAACCTCTTTGGAATCAGATTCATTCTTGTTAATAATGTTGGGGCTGCTTGAATCATGCAAGACGACTTTCTTATCATCACTAGGAGAAGGATTGAGGATAGGATTAAGTTTACGGGGAGGATCTATTAGAGGCACGAGGTAAGGGTTCTCGTAGCTCTTAATTAGCAGCCTCACTTTCTCTTCCTGCAGGATCTTCTGTCTATTTTCATAGTACATGAAGTCATCCAGTAAGGATGTCTTCGATATATAGTTCTTGAATATTTTCAGCATCTCCGTGCCTTTTTTGTAGTGTACCTGTGGGATGAGAGAGAGAGAGGGGGTCGGGGGGGGGGGGGGGGGATTTGGACTTGTTTACTACGAAAATACGACCTTCAAAACCCATTTGAGGAAAATAAGAATCAGGATACCAATGCCAATCGACCCAACGAATAGTCGATTAATGAGCAAGTTATTGCTGCTAAAGAAAATGAGGATATCTCAATGTGCAAAAATGTGCAAGCATACCTCTTGTGTGTCTCTGCTGTTGGTCACTGGCTTATTCTCATTGTTTTCTAGTATTATGTGTCTAAAATTTGGGTTTGGCACATCCTTTACAATGTGCCACTTAACAGGAAAGCTACCACTCCACTTGTCCTGCTGCCAGAAATCCATATCTTTATGAAAATCTACAGGACCAATCATTTCAGTAACACCGCAAAACTGGCCACTGGCATTAACCTTCAGTCAGAAAAGAAAAGAGGCACCAATCAGTAACACTGACTGACTGAAAATCTGTAGTGCATAATATGAGCTGTAAACTCTCGGACAACAATGCATGCCTAACCTATTAAATAATAGAATGTTACTCACAGAGAAGAAGAGGAAAATGCGGCAGCCTCTTGAATCTGCAGCAGCCATTCTCTGGGCATCTTCATATGCGCTGTTTAGTTTCTTGTTTCCGTTAGGTGTAGATGACCACACATTGTATTTAATACTCTTGTGCACGTCATCCTCACTATATGATTTGATTATGAAGAACTTAGCATTCGTATAATCAACTGAAAAATCACCCTTGTTATAATGATCAGTATGGATAATAATGTTTCCTAGTGCATCCGAATCTCCAGCCCTTGTTGTGTACACTTCAAGTGCCAATTGATTTTTCGATTTGTTAGTTCTAGGTCCTCGATTTTGTTCAGTCAACAGACCATTACTAACTTTTACCTCATCCAAAGCTCTTCCATAGAGTATCTTAGGCCTAACTTTATCTGATGAAGCCTGGGAATAATTGCTTGGTTCAATACTAGAGAAGCCATTGCCAGAAGGGAAAGCATTTTTTAAGGGACTCGGACTAGAAAATGCCTTCCTGTTCGGAGCATTTTCCTCAATTACATCACTTCTACCCTAAAACACAAAAAATTGCAATCAAGCAAAAGTTATTAGCTTCAGGATTCAGAAAAACGCACCGCAGCATCAGGATAAAAATACTAGATAACCAAAAATTCGCGCTTAGTTTATGGGCAAGCCATTTTAGCCCCCGTTTGGCCCCCATTCTATCCAAATTTTAATGGTTGGAATAGTGTTTTTTTGAAAAAAGTGGTTGAAAAAATATGAAAAGTATTTTATTTGTGTGTAATAATATTTTATGAAAAATAGTGTGGTTGAAAATAAGATAGAGAAAAAGAATGAGAATAAGAATGAGAATGGGGGCCAAACGGGGGGCTTATTTGCATATTCACTTCTGTTACCTCAAATAGTCTCACCTGGGTTTGTGATGATGTTGAACTGGGAAAACTTCTAGAAGTAATATTTCCACGAATCATAGGCTGCTTGCTAGATTCAGCATTTGCGATAGCTGTATTAGTCTGGCTAGTAGCAGTCCTTAATGGAGTAGGAGAAAATTTAGTAGATTTTAAAGAAAGACTGTTCTTAAGAGCTGGACCACCAGCTCGATTAGGTGATACGTCATTACCAACGAACGGGTCTATTGTGTTATTTGCAATCATGGAGATGTAAGCAGGTGAAGAAACAGGATTTTCGTATGATGGTATCGTATAATACTGTTGTGCCCCCACAAATGATCCATCAACTCCCACCATTGCACCAGGAATGTAAGGGTTGTAAGGGTTATATGGAGATTGTGCATATCCATAGTTAGGTGTATAATATACGTACGGAACACCTTCATTTGACACGCCCTAAAAGAGAAGATGCATGATTTCAGTAACATCAAGTGGTGTAGAACTTGGAACTCGACGAAAGGGACTCACCGTGTACTGAATTTCTTGACCATCCAGACCAAAAATACGATGGCAGTCATCCCAGTCGCCAGGTGATTCAAATGCTACAGAAAATAAGAGTACGTTACATCAGCCTCTAAAAAGGTTATATATGTTGCTCAAATCCACAAGTTATTAACATGTATGGTATTATATTTACCTGTACAAATATATCCACAGTTGGTGGCAGAAGGATAATACAGGCCTTGATTGACAACAAACTCAGGGGCTCCCTCGATATACATGGTTTCAAATTGTTCAAGGAGTGGACCTGTGATCTGTGAATTTGATTCGGCCTCTTGCATCTGAGGAGCCAACAATACCTTACTATATTAAAGACCATTCCCCTCAAACATGGAAAAATAAATAAAAATGAGGAAGAAACAAGTGACAGAGGAAGCACCAAACCCCTCTCAGCATACTCACCATCTATCTACGAAAAGTTGCAAAATATTGGGACGTCTTAATTTAAGTTAATCATCACACAATCAAACAGAAATTACCAGATATGCATCTGCATGTCCTTGTTCAGGAGCATTATATACATCCATTCCAGGACTGCCACCCCTGGAGAAAACATAAAACACTTAAAAGGAACGCATGCAGCATGAATGGACAAAATAGAAATCTAAACAGAAAAATACCAATCAGAAAGTTATTACACTCACCAAGTAACGTTTCAATAACACACAGGAGCAAATAACAAATTAACCAACCAGAAGACGTGATGCTGTCAGACCTTAGACACGTGGAAAATGAACATAAAAAACTCAAAACTTTGACTACTTCCAGCAAGTTTAAAGTGTTAATTTCCACCCATCGCATTCTAGAAAATCAAGACGCAGAGACTCTTTCTGGTTAACTTCTTTTGCAGTAAATAATTAAAGACAAAACCATAAATATACACCCATAATCTTACGTTTGTCTGATGTCTCCAATCAAAAATGTTAATAGCACTCATTCCAGAAGAGTATAAAACCCCTAATAGGAACATCAAATTTTCTTTCTTTCTTTATTTATTATTTGGAAAATAGTAAAACAGATCAAACAATTAAACCCTAGAAAAGCAAACCTAACCCCACCCCCTAAAAAAGTAAGTCAATTAACCAAAGAACCAATACACTGCTCAATCAAGCACTAAGAAAATAAATTCAACTACGCAAAATTACTAATTAACATTTCACATCAAAAAATCACATTAAAAACGCACATAGTTACAACATATCTGCTTTCAAATGTGCGTACCGTATAAGCTATACTAGATATATGCGTAAATAAAAAGAGGAAGAGAAAAGTACCTAGAGACAGAGAGAGAAGGAAACAGGAGATTTAAGCCATGGTTGACCTGAAGAATTGAAGGAGAATCAGATGAACGAGGGTCTGTATTGAATTATCGATTACCACTAAAAAAAAAATTTCTTCATAAAAACAAAAAATAAAATAAAATAAAATTTCAAAGCAGACGCTGTTAGGAAACCCTAAGTCGAGAGAGAGAGAATTTACATATATTTATACAGGGAAAAGGAGTTAAATGGCGGTGTATGATTCAATTTTGCATTAGATTGGAAATTTATTTTTAAATATTTATTCTTAAAATATTCGTGTGTGGTGTTGAGAAACGTATAAGGGGGGTTTGGTGTGGCAGAAGCTGCACGGCATAACTTGGTATGGGCTTTTTTAGTTTTGACAAATTTGATTGAATCGGTCAATTCTATTGCCTTTATGCTATAGGTACAAAGAAACAAAAATAAAAAATAAAAAATTTGATAAAATTTTTACAGAAGAACACTTTGCAATTTTTCATAAGTTTTCGACCCAACAATGGCAAAAAAATGCGTAGTTGGCAAGTTCTGAATAGCCAAATCTAAAAAACCTATTCTGAAAAATTACAAAATCTATTCTGAAAAGTCTCTTTCAAACAAGACTTTCAAATATTTTTTCTATTATTCATACAAGATTGAGATGATAAAGAGCATACTTAACAAGTTTTGAACAGTCACTTATATTGTTATAAAATCAATTATACTTTACAAAAAAGTAACCTTCACTCGCAAAATAACATGTTCCTAAATCTTCGTGATATGTTTTGGATCATTATACTCAAATATTGAAGAATAAAAAATGCTTAGTAGATTCGAGGGCCATAGAAATAAATACCCACATGCTCAATAAGTCAAAATGTCATGTCAAGATTACAATGTGCCTTTGAGCCACATTATTTTGAAAAAAAGTATTTTAAAATAATAGATTGATGTAGAACGTATAGTTAAAAGATAAAGAAAAAATTTGAATTTGCTTTTAGCTTTATTTTATTGAAGATGTGGTTGAAATAATATCAAAACACTATTTAAGAACATATTTTTTTTTGAAATATATATATATATATATCTATATATATATATATATATATATATAATGAACCCCACTCTTATTTCATAAAAAATAATTAAAAACAAAAAAGTGATTATTTAGTGGGGCTCGCATAAAGAATTTGAAATGAAACTGGTTGGAAGTTTCCCGTTGTGGGAGAGTTGGTGTAGGTATTGATTCCCGCAATAAAGGCAGGCCAAGATAATAATAAAGATATAAAAAATACCAATATTTGATGCCTATTTTCCATTCATCGTTGTCCCCATTTCGTGTTCCACTGTTCTAGAACTCTATCACTACTCATTTGCAAATAAAAGCTATAACACCGAAATGTCAAAAATTTGGTGGGGACTTTAAAGAGAACAAAGAAAGGAATAACAGCAGATCCCAACTCTACAGTAGCAGAAAATAGAACAAAAACGACATCAGCCTATTTTGATTTTGAAGAAAATACAAGGCTTCTTCACTAATTTGAACCTCAAAGATTCTTAGAACAAGATCGATAATAAAGAAAGGAACAAGCATATCTTCCCCTCCACTTGGGGAACACACAACAATTTCCCTTTCACAGATCTATTTGTTAAAACGAAAATATTAAAAACAAAATTCAGCAGCATTGTCTAATTAGTCCTATTAGCCGAAAATATCCTCGGCCGGACAAAGTACCGGTACAGTATTGCAATAGGGTTTTCTTTTTTCCTTTTTTTTTTTTTTTTTTTTATGCTTCCTCACAGTACGAACTCACCTCCACAAATGGTGTGTCGCTATATGGTTCCTATGCTGGATTGCTAGGGTTAGATCCATCATCAGAGAAGCCAGTATTAACAGTAGATGCTAGAGGAACCTGCTCCACTGGCTCAGCTTCCTTGCCTTGTGTGCCTGAATATGTGGTTGACGTCCCAGATTTAGGAGGAACCTCAACATCCATCTGATCAAACTTAGATTTGCGGGGCAGCCTCCTCTCATATCTATCATAGCTGCGGCTGCGAGAGAGGCTGCGGCTCCTGCTATAACTCCTACCCCTGCTGCGGCTGCTGCTCCTGCTAGAGCTACGGCTTCGGCTATAACCCCATGTTCGAACTCTCTCAGGACTAGAGCTGTAACTTCTCTCCCTTTTCCTGTCTGAAATATCTCTTCTGTTATCAAATCGTCCCCGCCCCCTGCCCGTGTGATATTGATCACGTGTGCCGCCACGCTCATTCCTGTCCCAACCAATCCGAGCACCATCCCTCCTCCCACCACCACGACCACCGAAGCCACCATCTCTCATCCCACCACGTCCACCAAAGCCAACATCTCTCATCCCTCCCCGTCCACCGAAGCCACTATCTCTCATCCCTCCACGTCCACCAGAGCCACCATCTCTCCCCCCACTACGTCCTCCAAAACCACCATCTCTCATCCCACCACGACCACCAAAGCCAACATCCCTCATGCCACCTCGGCCACCAGAATTCCAACGCCCGCCACCATCGACAGAATCATAATGGTTTATCCCACCTCGATCTTTGCCAAATCCAGGCCCCCCGCATAATGCTATTTCTCTCACCTCGGGAGGCACAGGTTGGTTGGCCCCCTCCAGGACTTTAACAAGATCAGCAGCATATTTCCAGTCTTGCTCGGAGAAAAA